GAGTGTGACCTAGTGGAGAATGCCAATTATTGCTTTCGAGTCCCAGTTGATGTTTCCGGTATTATGAGGCTGAGTGTTGGGCCTCTTCCGTCTTCGGTTGACGAGCAACCTACAACCAGCACTGCCTTTTCTGCAGCTGCTTCTCAACTGACAATGCCATCAGGTCCATCTCCTTCTACGTCGGTCATACCTTCGTCACCAGTAACTGCTACATCACCCCCAGCGGCCGCTGATACCCGAGAGGAAGACGGACCTCCTCCCTAGTCCCAGACCATGGGAATTTAGGGCACAACTATTCCTCCCCCTTCTGCAGATCCCCAAAGGAGGAGAAGTGTCTCCCTCTCGTTCTACTGAGTGCCATCTGTTGTCCTGACCGGTGGAACTCGCCAGTTACCTGAAGCCATTAATCTAACTTTATTCTCCTATCCTTGGATCACAAATCCCTCAGGTTGAGACATATAGATCTCTTCCTCTAAATCACAATTTAGGGAAGCCGTTTTAACATCCATTCGATGCATCACTTAATTATGAATAGCGGCTAAAGCAACAAAGTTCTAATAGTCGCTATCTTAGTAATATGAGAATAAGTGTTAAAGTAATCAATGCCTTTCTTTTGGTTAAAACCCCTAACAACAAGTCTAGCCTTATATTTCTCAATTGTACCATCAGGTCTCAATTTCTTCTTAAATATCCACTTGCTACTTATGGGTTTACAACCTTTAGGCAAATCGGACAAGTCCTAAGTGTGATTAGAAACTAGAGTCTAATTCACTTTTAATGGCCTCTTTCCAAAAACTAACATCTATTGACCTCATTGCTTCATTATAAGTCTTGGGGTCTTCTTCTATTAAATAGACTGACACTAATTCAGCACTCAAAACATCAAGATCAATATTTTCAATCAAGAAAGTAGTGATAAAGTCAGGACCAAAGCTAGCTTCAATCCTATGTCTCTTACTCCTTCTAAGTTTATTTTCATGCTTATTAGCAGTAACACTAGAAGAAGGCAAAAATATGAGAATTAACAGGCGTAGATGTAGAAGCATTATTAGGCACATCACTAGGCAAATTATTTTTCAATGGAAAAACGTGCTCAAAAAATTCTGCATCTCTAGATTCACAAGTAGAACTATCATTCAAAGACATAAATCTATACACAGCACTATTTTGAGCATAACCAATAAAAATAGCATCAAAAGTCTTGGGTCCAATAGTTACTTGTTTAAAATCAGGTAGACCAACCTTAGCCAAACACCCCAACACTTTCAGAATTTTCAAGTTAGGGGCAAACCTTTTCCATAGCTCATACAGGATTTTATCTAACTTCTAATGATGAAAGAACATAGCACGCAGATAAAATAGCTCGACCCCCCCCCCCCCCACATATATTATCATATAAATCCGAACTCAAAAGCATAAAATTAATTATTTTCTTAAGGGTTCTATTTTTCCGTTCGGCTACACCATTTTGTTGGGGAGTATAGGAAGCACTCACCTCATGTATAATATCATTTTTCTCACAAAAGGCTTCTAGAGTATTAGTACTATATTCACCACCCTGTCAGACCTAAGTCTCTTGATTTTTCTGTCTAATTGATTTTCTGCTTTTGCCTTGTATTTCAAAAATATGCTTTCAACCTCATCTTTTGACTTAAGAAGATATATCTTATTGTATCTAGAAAAGTCATCTTAAGAGTGATATAGTATTTCTTTCCACCCTTACTAACAGTGTTCTTGAAATCTGCTAAGTCTGAATGTACTAGTTCAAGCAATTCTATCTTTCTACTAGTTATATTCTTAAAAGGCTTGTTGATATGTTATACCTCTAAACAAACATGACACTTAGAAAAATTATCAACATTAGCTGTAGGAATTAGTTCTATTTTTCTAAGTCTTTTAATAGAAGCAATATTAATATGATCTAGTCTACCATGCCACAAATCAATGGACTCAGCAATTTAAGCAGAATTAAAAGTACTAGCATTATTGGTAATCTCTTGAGCGATGTTCAGTACAAATAATCCCCTACTAAGGTAACCCTTCCCAACAAAATATCCCCCCACAAGAAATAACAACTTTATCAGATTCAAAAACAAGTTTAAGACCTGCTTTGTTGAGAAGCACACCAGAAACTAAGTTTCTACGAAGGGAGGGTACATACAGAATATTGTTCAACGCTTAGGTTTTTCCAGAAGTTAACTTAAGGAGAATTTTTCCTTTACCCATAACTCCACCTGTAGTGGAGTTATCCATGTAGACACACTCTCCATGAGCAAATTCCTCAAAGTCATGAAACAACTCGTTGTTGGCGCAAAGGTGCCTTGAAGCGCCTGTGTCCAGTATCCAATCTGTCTTGTTAGCCTCAACGACCACAACAACGATGGCATCACCATCCTCAGTAAGGTTAGCTTGGACTGGAGCTTTTCCTCCATGCTTTGAGCTTTGTCCTTGTCTCTAGTTGCACCGGAAAGCCTTGTGACCAATTTTACCGCAGATATAGCAAGGTCCTTTCGACTTTTAAATATGGTCCTCTGGCTTATTGAAGTAATTCTGCTTCTTCACATGTCTTTTATTCTGTTTTCCTTTAAACCTGTCTTTCACAAAAGTACTAGAAGATTCCACAAGGTTAGATTTAGAAGAATTAAGAGAGAGAGATTTCATCTTATCCTTAAGCCGTTCAGCCTCATCTTCTTTGAGACGGTTTGCTTCCTCAGTCCTCATCTGACTGATCAGTTCTTGAAGAGTCAAGTTTTTCTTTTTGTGTTTCAGTTGATTCCTGTAATCACTCTAGGAAGGTGAAACTTCAAGCCGAACATTAGCCTGAAGACTCTCACACATCTCCATGCCTTCATTCAAAACATCAGTAGTCAAGTTTTCATACTCGTGAACCTGCTCCATGATTGGCTTATCATCAACCATCTGAAACTTGATCCACTTTCCAACCACATACTTCTTCTTTTTTTCGAATCATCTGCACCATGTTTCTTCTCCAAACTGTCCCATATGACTTTAGCAGATTTATAATATAAACAAATCAAAAATATGGTTAGTCATATGGTTAGGTATATGGCCTCGAACAATTATTATCTTTTTCAAATTTCTTCTTAGCAGCATCATCCGCAACAACAGTAGTTGTAGTATTAGAATTATCAGCAACAACATCAGCAGGAGGTTCGTTAAACAGAACGTAATCAACTTCTAACTATTCAAAGAAAATTAAAAGTTTCTGGGACCAATGCTTATAATTGTTTCCATCTAAAGGCTCAAGCTTTGACAGATATGGAAGTGTTTTGTTCAAAGTGGTAGCCATTAGTCAATATTATATGCGAAATAGCTTTCAAATTGTAAGAAAAACAGTAGATAAGACCGGTTGCTACCCAAGGTTCTACCATACCTCCAAACACGTGCACTCGTGGCTGAAAGTTTGGAATTTGCACAAAATAATTGCCCAGAAATCGGTCGAGAAGAAGAGAAGATGAAGGTGTTTTTCTGTATATGAAAACTTCACAAAACAGCTCCTAATATAGATAAGATGCTAGAGCTGTTACAAGCGTATATCTCACACGCAGGGGGGGGGGGGGGCAAATTGACCCGTTTTGCCTTCAGGACCAATTTCTCACGTGCGCGAGACCACTCCCTTTTACTAGCTTTTACAAGCCCAACAAAGAGTAATTCAATATAAAGAGATGAAAAAGACTTTCCACGACCAATGACGGATATTATGTCTTTCACAAAAGACAAAGAAGTAAAGAAAAAAAAGGGACCACAAAGAAATCTTTGACTTCGCATTATCAACTATAAATAATACCAACAATTATGTGTCCCCTAATACATTTTGTGGTTCAACAATAATTGATGAGGATGAAGGCCAAATGTTATATTCAGATGAGTTCAAATTGAAAGGTCTCAAGCTTTTAGATTAATTAGTATCTTCACGTTTTTGAGTTGCAGTACTGTTGGATAAGTGAAGTATCACTATGAATGATATTGTTTCAGCTTTACTCATTTTATTATATCACGCTTTGCTTAACAGTTGTTATGTTTCCTAGCTAAGAAACTGGGAAATTCCATATCTTATCTGAAAGTTGAAACAGAACATTTTAATTTGAGAAAATAGAAAAAAAGAGGAAAAACATACACCTCTTGTAAAAATCGCGTGGTACATGGTCACGTTTAATATTTATTAATGGCTCTTGTATTGTTTTTCCCTTCCTAGCTAAGAAACTGTGTGAAATTCAAGTATCTGCCAAAGTTTAGACTTTGACACTTACGCAGAAATACAACATGAATATATGGGGGAAGGAGAGGCTATAGCCTGATTTCCCTGTGAGTAGTACTGGCCTAGTCACATATAGCCAAAAATATATATATATTATGTATATAGAAGGCTAGATGTATATTAAATCTTGAATAACTTTAGCAGAATTCGCCACTAATGGACCACTTTGCAATTATTTGAAGATCCATAATGCACGTATCCTGGCAAGAAATAGGCCACGTATGCATAAAAGCCAACATGTACTATTGTTTATGTTGGCTTTCCGCTTGCGTTTTAAGGATTGATTATACATTTCTGTAAATGTAAATGTACTGTATTATTTCTGAAACAAGTTTTTCCTTCGAAACAATTTCTCTTTAATGTTCTTTTGTTCAGGTAATTAGCATTTCCTATAGCTGATAGACTGATAGTTTAGCACTTAGCACTGGAAAAGGTAAAGTGAGTTCCAAATACCAATTGGCCTCATATTTGCAATTAATCCATGTGAAAGAAGAGGAAAAAATGGCAAATTTATTTGATGAGTGACAATGACTTAAAAAGAGTACTCTCTTAAAGCTTTAGAAAATCAGCACCTCCTCTTTTAATAATTGAACCATTAGAATATTGAATCAACTCGTAATATCCGTGGTCCGTTCCCCCACACGTGTCAACTTTAACATAAACATTATAGAGTACTTCACTACATCCTCTTCCTCTATATGAAGACCTCTATATATAGACCACTCATATATTGCTTCCACATAAACTCACATCTCTACATACTCTTCTCAAAAGCTTTCTTTGATCAATTCTCTCCTTCTTAAGTTAACCAACCAAAAACTCAAAATACAAAAAAAAAAATCGAGAGTTAATTAGACTAAAAATGGATCAGAATTTGCCAGTAACCGCAAAAAAGTTCTGGAAAATAGTCCGAGTAGCTTTTTTCATGCTAAGGAAAGGCTTATCAAAGAGAAAGTTAATGTTTGATCTCAATTTATTAATGAAGCGTGGCAAAATTGCAGGTAAAGCCGCCATTCAAAACCTCATGTTCCACCATGATAATAATACCTATGGCCACCAATGTCCTTCCTCCACCTCATCTTCCAAAGACTACTACGAATTCAGCTGCAGTAACAGCCCTGCTTTTCACCTTCCCTTTAACCTCAACAAGCGCAATAAGCACAGTCATCACCATGCACCTGCAACTGACGACGACGTTTTAATGGTGAACACTGCTGTTTTGAAGGCGTTGGAGATGATTCAGAGTGAAACGGCGTCACCTGCTTTGCCTGGATTTGGGAGAACTCCTACGGTGAGGCAATTAAGGGTAACTGATTCGCCGTTTCCTCTTAGAGATGTTGAGGGTAACAGTCACGTAGATGAGAAAGCTGATGAATTCATTTCAAGATTCTACAGAGATTTGAGACGAGAAGCTTCTGCTTTTGCTTAATTTTTTTTTTTTTCCAAAAATGTTGAGAGTTCATGCATAATTGGTGTTGTAATGGAAATTTTGTCGCTTCCATTATGTCTCTATGAATTTTTTTCCATTATGTCTCTATGAATTTTTTATTAAGTTTTCTTTTCGTGGTTTTGAGGAAATTATTAGTAGAAAATATAAAAGAAAATAATGCTAGTATATAAATGTGATGGTACCGTCCCTTAATTTCCATTCATTTTTATGACATTTTCAAGGCTGAAGTCCTGAAATTCTTGTTGGGCTAAACTAGCCCAAATACACTCTTAATATGGTATGATATTGTCTGCTTTGGGTCAAGCCCGCACGGTTTTTCCCTAAAAGGTCTCACACCATTAATAGATCCCAACATCTTATATGTAGACTCCCAATCTTTTCAGCTACCAATGTGTGACTTTGTTCGCACACCCAACAATTCTAGCATTAGAATGTCGAGTACTCGTTATGTCCTTTTCTTCCAGAAAGTAAGAAAAGCAAAAAGTTAAATTAGAAATCATTACTTGCTCCTACAAGTTAAAGTAAAGCATTGAACAAGGTTAGCAACTTAACATTTATTCCTTCCTTCAAGCTCAAGGGTATGTAATTCAACATATTAACTACCTATCAAACAGTACGTACTTGGAATATATTGGGTTTATAATTTTCAGTTTATACGACCTCTATTAGGAAAGAAAAATTGATAGTAGAAGTTAATCGTCATGTAAAATCCAAAAAGAAATCCTGGAATTTTATTAATTTAAGTATCACATCGCACGTCCAATGTTCGCTATTTGGTCCAAACACTCCTAACCTAATTATTGATGCCAGGACTCTCTTACTAAGTCAAAGAAAAATGTCGCAATCGACTTACAATGAAGGCACAGTGATTCTTCCCAATTTAATTTCCTAAAGCAAAACAGTACGTTATGTTAGTAAGTGGAAATATGTTGTTTAGTCTGTGCCTTTATCTATTTACTTTATTACCATTTATTTACATTAATTTATTGAAGTGGTATGAAAAGCAAATCCTTTGCTTTTTGGGTTGGCCATCAACCTGGAAATCTCCTTTAGCAGAAACATCCAAGCACATACCCTATTTTATTGATGCACTTGATTGTTTTATTAATTTAAGGGAAATTGTGGTGCTTACTAAAGTAAAGCTGTCAATACCTTAGGTTTAGACCTGATTTTGAAATAAAAATTGCCTCGTGGGACACAAAAATATAAAATGAGGTCTTTAATATTGGGTAAGCCAAGAATATAAATGACTACGTACCGCTCTCATGCCTGGTTAATAAAATGAATTTTTGACCTAACTCAATTTCATAAGTTAGCTTATGTGGAAAGGAATTATCCGAAACCATATAAGGAGATAACTTTTCATTTCCTTCCCTAATACTTGACACTAACTTAGACAAAACTAGAATCAGAAATCCAATATGAATGATAAATGGCAAAAAGTAAATATTTTGAGTATATTTATATTTCATTTTTAGAAAATTATTATGATTTCTCGAGAGAGAATTGCACTAAGTAGAATGTACACGATCAGTATGGAATAAATCGGTGAGATTTTAGATGACGTAGCGAGAAGGATTTCGATAATTGAGGAAATCATAACTCTAGACATCCTTAATCTTGTCTCTGACTTCATCCTTTTTAGTTAATAATTTTACTGCTTTTTAATATGTGTTAGTTTATTAGTTCAAAGCAAGAATCACAATCTTTATAACTTAGAGATTGTGTGAACTTGTGTTCTTAGTGATAGTGAATAGTTGTAGCTAAAGCTTAGTTCTCTGGTGATTTAACTACGAACTCGTAAACCGAAATATATGTGTGATGACCTCTAGTCCTTTTATTAGACATAATTGGACGTCATTAATGAACTTAGCTTGAAATAATTTTACAACATCTAATTAAATATTCAATTAATATTAATGAAACATTGATAGCGGATAAAGAGAGAATTGAGTTAGAAAAATTGTGGTTCTCGAAGACAAGATCTTTTGACAGCTCTAGGACAAGATTTAAGCTTAGTATTGCGGGCAAGTTATGTTAATTGTAATTTATAAAAGATGTTGTCTCGTTTTTTCTTCATGCGAGATATTAATTAATTTTGTAAGTCAAATTTTGAGGTGGTCTCACACAAGTGGTGTTACTAACAAAACTAATTTTCTCCTCTCATACAAGTAAAGCACGGTGACTAAGTAAAAGCCAAATGTTTAGGTAAAACAATCCATATTGATAAACATGGATTGCTATTTTCCTTCTGTTTCTTTCTCTTTTTCACCCTCTCTTGAGAGAGTGTTATATGCGTAGGAGTCTTAGGGGTGTACTCCCTCCGGTCCAAAATAAATAATTTTTTGGTTGTTTTCACATATATTAAGAAACTCACCTTTTAACATTACTTAGCAATAAAATTGACTATATTAATCTTTACTATCTCTTCACATAAACATTCCTAACACATACTCCAACATTATTTACTCCAAGGGCAATGTAGGGAAAAAAATAATTCATTCATTCTTGAAATCTGGAAAAATCACTTATTTTGGACCACAAAAAAAAAGCCAAAAAATCACTTATTATGGACCGGAGGGAGTAATAATTACCATGCTTGAAGAGAGCCTTATAGCAATGATAAAGTTGTCTTTGTGTGATCTATAGGTCATGAGTTCGAGCTGTGAAAGCAGCTATTAATGCTAGCATTAGAGTAGATTGTCTACATCATACCCCTAGGGGTACAATCCTTCTCCAGACACTACGTAAATATAGAGTGTTTTATGCACCGAGCTGCCTTTTATAATTGCCATGCCTGTTACATTTCATCCAACTGTATTTCGCATTTTCAAAAATGCTTGGTTCACTGGATGTCAGCTTTACACTTGGGAGGCTAGAGGGTACAGCTTCTCCAAAAGTGGCATTCAATCATAGAGGAAGGAGTTTATAATGTAACTTAATTAAACAAAACAGATAAAAGCTAATTAAAAGGTGCAACAAACAACTTTTATTAATAATAAAAAAATGCATAATTCATATATACGAGTGGTGGATATTATTATGTGTCCCTTAATCCATTCTATGGTTCAACAATAATAGATGAGGATGAAGAACAGATGTTATATTCAGATGAGTACAAATTGAAAGGCCTCAAGTTTTTTGATTAATTGTCATATCACATTCTAAGATTAAATTGTACCATGGATCTGTTGGATAAGTGAAGTCCTGTCACGATCTGGATTTCCCATCCTCGGGGTCGCGATGGCGCCTACTCGTGGTAGCTAGGCAAGCCAAGAACCTTTACAAACATTAACCTATCTTGTTTTATACATGATTAAACAATTAAATTATCAATGAATAAGCTGTTGAAAAGACAACGAAAAGTAAAATTTAGCGGAAGTCTGAACTAAACATAGAAACAGCGTCTAGAAAGCCAATACATGTCTCTACCCAGCACCCGGTGTCACAACAATACACGGACTGTCTAGGATTACTACAAATAAGAGTTTGAAATAAAGGACATAGTCTGTCTCGAATACAAATGTCAACAAAACATGAAAACTGAAAGAAGAGACGCCGGGCCTGCGGACGCCAGCAAGGCTACCTCATAGTCTCGTGGACTGAAGGTCGGCTCCCTAACTACTGCTGCGCACCGTAAGCTGCTCCGACACCTAGATCTGTGCAAAAGAGCACAGAGTGTAGCATCAGCACAACCGACCCCATGTGCTGGTTAGTGCCTAGCCTAACCCCGGCGAAGTAGTGACGAGACTAGACCGGACTACCACATAAACCTGTGCAGTTATATATACATATACAGCGGAATCGAAATACAGAGACAAGTAATTAATATGGGAGGGGGAGCATGCTATGAGGGAAATAACAATTTCAAGTAAAAGTCGTCCAGTAACGAAGGAAACAACACAACTCAGACATTAATAAAGAAACAGAAAGAAACAAGTGCACGGCATCACCCTTCGTGCTTTTACTCTCATCCTCACCAAGCAATGATATAATAAAGTGTGCACAGCATCACCCTTCGTGCTTTTACTCTCATCCTCACCAAGCAATGATATAATAAAGTGTGCACGGCATCATCGTGCTTTTACTCTCTTTCCTTACATATAATCGATAGAATCGACACGGAATGGTACATCGTGCGGCACGGAATCACCCTTCGTGCTTTACTCTCTTTCCTCACCATAAGCAAACAATGCACGGCATCACCCTTCGTGATTTACACTCTTTCCTCGCAACAAACAAACAATGCACGGCATCACCCTTCGCGCTTTAACACTCTTTCTCACCCAAACAACAATCACAAACAAGGGGCAAGGGAATAAACAAAATAATAAAAGAAATCCCGGCAAGGGAACATAATTGAACAATTAAATCCCGGCAAGGGTACAACATCAATAATCTCAACATCCCGGCAAGGAAAAACAATCAATAAACAACAATATCCCGACAATGGAACAATTTAAATACTCTTTCTCTTCCTTTCACTTTTATTTCATATCTCACTTTACCACTTGAGCCAATGCTCCAAAGGGATTCAACCATTTCATATACGTTCACAATTGAAATATAACTTGAGCCAATGCTCCTCGTTGTTCATAGGTCACAATTTCCTTTCACAAGCTTTTCACAACAAATAGGAATCATCACCAAGGCAAGAGAAATACAACGAAATCAAGATATTCACAATTTAAAGACTCACGATCATGCTAGACACCAATGTATAGATACTCGTCACCATGCCTATACGTCGTACTCAACAAGAAGCAATTAGCAAATAAGACTCAATCCCTAGTCCCTCAAGCTAGGGTTAGACCAAACACTTACCTCAATGCCTTGCACACAACTTAAGCCTCAAGTATAGCTTTACCCCGCGATTCCACCGCCAATTCGCTCGTATCTAATCACAAATTACTTAATTATATTAATAAACACTAAATGAATCAACTCCAATGCATGAAAATGAGTTTTCCCAAGTTTTACCCAAAAAGTCAAAAATCGCCCCTGGGCCCACGTGGTCAAAACCCGAGGTTTGAACCAAAACCCGATTACCCATTCCCCTAGGGGTACGATCCTTCTCCAGACACT